TGAGCTGTAACCGCCTAACGTTACACCCACAGCCACAGGCCAAAAACCTCAGCACCATCCACACCGCCAAAACACACCCAAAACCACAGCAACGAAAACAACACCCGCAACATTCATCTCCTCTCGTCTCAATTGACATCGTCACTTGCCAGCGAGAGCCCTCCGTGGGCGCTTCCCGCCCACCTCGGTCTCTCCAGCCCACCTCGGTCTCTCCAGCCAAATCTCCCCGGTTAACTCCCATCCATTTTTCGTTCCCCGGCGGACGCCTCTCCGGTTACGGATGTTATTTTTTTTGTTTTAGGCAGAGAAGCTCATCTCGTTTTGTTTTTCGTTGTTTTTGTGTAACGAAATTGCCCAGTGTGGATTTTTCCGTTATAAAGGGCTGGAAAAATTTCTTTGGCGATTTTGACCCTTTCCTTGTTACCAATTGCTGCAAGCAATAAAGCGAATTAACACCTCCGTCTTTATCTCTCAGTTCCTCCTCTACACACGATGTCTGATATCGAAGAACGTGCTATCAGCACCATCAAGCTCCTCTCCGTTGACCAGGTTGCTAAGGCCAACTCTGGCCACCCAGGTGCACCATTGGGCCTTGCTACCGTTGCTCATGCTATCTGGAAGCAGATGAGATTCAACCCTAAGAACCCGGACTGGATCAACAGAGATAGATTTGTCCTGTCCAACGGTCACGCCGTTGCACTGTTGTACTCGCTGTTGCACCTGTTTGGCTACCCGCTGACCATTGACGACTTGAAGAACTTCAGACAGCTGGGCTCAAAGACCCCAGGTCACCCAGAGGCTGAGACCCCAGGTATCGAGGTCACCACTGGTCCGCTCGGCCAAGGTATCTCCAACGCTGTTGGTTTGGCCATTGCTCAGAAGCAATTTGCCGCCAGATACAACAAGCCAGACTTCACCTTGTCTGACAACTACACCTATGTGATTTTGGGTGATGGTTGTTTGCAAGAGGGTGTTGCCTCTGAGGCGTGCTCTCTTGCTGGTCACTTGCAATTGAACAACTTGATTGCCTTCTACGATGACAACCACATCACCATCGATGGTAACACCAACGTGTCCTTCACAGAGGATGTCAACAAGAGATTCGAGGCTTATGGCTGGGAGGTTCAGTGGATTAAGGATGGTAACAACGACTTGAACGCCATCAACAAGGCCTTGGAACAAGCCAAGAAGTCCAACAAGCCAACTCTGATCAGATTGACCACCATCATCGGTTACGGTTCCTTGCAGCAAGGTAGTCACTCCGTCCACGGATCCCCATTGAAGGCAGATGACATCAAGCAATTGAAGGAGAAGCTTGGTTTCAACCCTGAGGAGAACTTTGTCGTCCCACAAGAGGTTTACGACTACTACAACAAGGAGACCATCCAACCAGGTCAGAAGCTCGAGGAGGAGTGGAACGCTTTGTTCAAGTCTTACTCTGAAAAGTACCCAGAACAAGCTAAGGAGATCACAAGAAGACTTAGCGGTGAATTGCCATCAGGCTGGGAGGAGAAATTGCCTTCCTACACCAAGGATGACAAGGCTCTTGCTACTAGAAAGCTCTCTGAGATGCTCTTGGACTCCATCTTTGACTACATTCCAGAGCTCATTGGTGGTTCTGCTGATTTGACCGGTTCCAACTTGACCCGTTCCAAGGAGGCCACCGACTTCCAACCAGATGATGCTCCAGCTGAAGGTAACTACGCTGGTCGTTACATCCGTTACGGTGTCCGTGAACACGGTATGGGTGCTATCATGAACGGTATCTCTGCCTTTGGTGCTAACTACAAGGCCTATGGTGGTACTTTCCTCAACTTTGTCTCATATGCTGCTGGTGCTGTTAGACTCTCTGCCCTCTCTGGTCATCCAGTTGTTTGGGTTGCCACACACGACTCTATCGGTCTTGGTGAAGATGGTCCAACTCATCAACCTATTGAGACCTTGGCCCACTTCAGAGCCACTCCAAACTTGAAGGTTTGGAGACCAGCTGACGGTAACGAGGTTTCTGCTGCTTACAAGGTTGCCCTTGGCTCCAAGCACACTCCATCTATCATTGCCTTGTCCAGACAAAACTTGCCACAATTGGAAGGTTCCTCCGTCGCCAAGGCCGAGAAGGGTGGTTACGTCGTCAAGGAGGCTGCTGATGCCCAAGTGATCCTTGTTGCTACCGGTTCTGAGGTTTCCCTCGCCATCGAGGGTGCTGAGGCTCTTGCTGCCAAGGGTGTCTCTGCCCGTGTCGTTTCTCTTCCAGACCAGCACACATTCGACCAGCAATCCAAGGAATACAGACTCTCTGTCCTTCCAGATGGTATCCCAATCGTCTCCATCGAAGTGTTGACCACCACCGGTTGGGCTAAGTACTCCCACGAGCAATTCGGTATCGACAGATTCGGTGCTTCTGGTAAGGCTTCTGACGTGTACAAGTTCTTCGAGTTCACTGCTGATGGTGTCGCTGACAGAGCTTTGAAGACCATCGAGTTCTACAAGGGCTCTAAGATCGTCTCTCCATTGAACAAGGCCTTCTACTCTGTTGTTTAGACGGAGCCTGCTCTTAAAACTAAACACACGTTCTATGATTTAATACATTTAGTTGGAAACCTCATCTGTAGTAGCTGCGTTTAGTTGTCACGGCAACACGTTTACTCTTTTCAGACGAAACCACGGCTCTTCACCTGGAATTGGTGTCTGGATGTTTCCAGTGCTGATTTCACAGTTGTGGACTTTGTTAGCAAAACGTGTGCTTTGTAGAGGCCAGTTAAGCCGGTATAGATAGCCGTCAACGTAGGCGTAAGAGCACAATGTCGGATGGAAAGATATCGGTGGCCTTTGTATGCCTTGGAAACATCTGTCGTTCGCCAATGGCTGAAGCAGTTTTCAAACATAAGGTGAGTGAATTTGGGCTGGGAGATCACTTTGTAAAGATCGACTCCTTTGGTACAGCTGGTTACCACGTTGGTGAAACTCCAGACTCCAGAAGCTCCTCTACTTGTAAGAAGCATGGCGTTCCAGTGAACCATAGAGCTCAGAAGCTATCGGCTCAACATTTCCACGAGTTTGACTTCCTCATTGGCATGGATGAGAGCAACCTGTACAACATTGAAAGAATTCAGCCACGCGGAAGTAAGGCCAAAGTCAAACTGTTTGGTGATTACAACACCGACGGTAAGTTTAACAAGATAGTCGATGACCCATACTACGGTGGCACTGATGGATTCGAGTACAACTTTAAGCAAGTGTCATATTTTGCTGAGGAGTTTTTGAAACAAGAACTTGGCTGGA